AATCCATTAAATGGATTAATCCACCGATCAGGTTGCAGTTCTTATAATCTAATCATATCACTTTTGAGCATTCTAACACATGAGATTTTTGGGGACACTTTATATCCAAACCATAACAGCTATAAAGCATTTCTATTACATATCATCTTCTGTACACAGCCTATGGACTTCCACAAATGATTTACGTAACCATTTCTTATGATAAGAATGAGATATAAGAATTTTCTTCTTGCTCTTTGACTCTCAAGAATTATTTAATAAGAGGAAATTCTGTCATTTGTGATATCATGGATGAACTTAGAGGATATTATGCTAAGTGAAATGAGCCAGGCACAGAAAAAAATAACAAATGTTTTAACTATGTAAGTAATCTAAAAAGAGGCAAACTAACAGAAACAGAGTAAAATAAGTGCTTGCTAGAAGCAAAGTACAGTGTAAGGATGGGAAAATGATCAAAGAACATGGTGACTTTGGTTAATAAAACTATATTGGATAATTAGATGTATAAATAATTAGAACAAAATTTTTTAAAAGTCAAATACATTGTATACTTAGAATTTTTAAGAGATTTTTTTTAAAAATTGATATAGCATTGTATAGTGTGATAATTCAATAAATGCATACAGTGTGTACTGATAAAATGAGAGTATTTAGTGTTTCCATATCCTTAAACATTTATCATTTCTTTGTGTTGGGAACCTTCAAACTCAATAAAATAGATTTTAAGGCTTATATTTTCCCCACTAAAATAAATATAAGCATGTGAGATGATGCATATGTTAAGTAGTTCGATTTAGCCATTCCACAAGGTAAGCATATATTAAGTCATCTTGTTAATGCACCAGAAATGTACACACTTTTTATTTTCCAATATAAAAAAATATATAAAGGCCATTTTGTGTACTCAAATTCAATCTAAGGGAGCAGCTACTAGTACAGCTCCTGATTCCTATGCATTGCTGATTATTGCTGGTAATAAAAAGAGAACAAAATCCACATTTATAATTTAGGGCTCTTGTTATTTTCCTGTGTGAAATTCTCTACAGCCAATGACAATTGTGATTATTTAACACTCAATGTAGAATTCAAAACCAAACTCCTTTCTTAAACACTGTTAAAACACAGATAATGCTAACAAATAATGGTTTAACTTCATTTGCCATAGATTGTACATTATAACTGAAAAAAATACTCATCCTAAAAACCAGATATACATGGCCTAATTCAACATCTCACTTAGAAAATTTATGATGTACTGTTATTCAGCTAAGGAGGTCACTAAACAGCTTCCATATAATCAGTGAACCACAAGATGGCACTACTGAACAATTATCTCAAGATAACTTCTAGGTTCTCTATGTAGACATACAAAACCTCTTCAAAACCATTGACAATCACTTGGAGAGAACAGAGTTTGAAAGGAGAAAATAGTAATTTTGCAGTGGAAAAAACCCTGGCAAATATTACCTTAGCTAAATGAAAAAGTTAGCATCACCATTGATCATATCATGATCATAGTAATGCCACACACCCCTCACGTTATGTGAAGAAAGGATATTTTATCTCTGTGATATTTTTTTCCCCAAAATCCATAACCTCAGTCTAATCACAGGAAAACATCAGCCAAACCCAAACTAAGGAACGTTATGAAAAATACTTGACCAGTACTCTTGAAAAGTGTCAGTCATGAAAAATAAGGACTGGAGAAGTTAAGGAGACATGGTTGTTAGTTAGAATATGGGATCGCAGTTTGGGTCCTGAAAAAAGGACATTAGTAGAAAAACCAGGAATATTAGAACAAGCCTAAAATTTAATTAAGGGCATTGTACCCATATTAATTTCTCAGTTTTGACAACTGTACCATGGTCATGAAACATGTTAACTTTAGAAAAATCTGGGTGAAGATATACAGTGTAGAGGTGCTATCTTTGAAACTATTATCTGTTCAAAAATATTTCAAAATAACTTTTAAAGGTCAAAATACAGGGGAACTCTCTCAAATGTTATTTTAATGGCAACAATTTATCTTTAGCTATGGAAGCTTGTATAATGGTTTGGTCTTAAACAATTACATTCCAAGGTCTAGGGTTTTATTCCTCTGTAGTAATAGTATATTTTGAAACCCAACAATGGGATACATTGTCAGACAAAATAATTTTGTACAATTTTCAAATGAAAATCAACTGTATATAGCGAGGGTAGAACCAAGCTGACACTTTTTGTTCTATGGCTATGGATAGCACCTTTTAATGACATTCACTTATCCTACTACTGTATAACATAAGTTTAATGGCTATACATTTCAGATTTTAAAACTTTTAAAGTTCACTATCATTTAAATCAAATAAAGTGTGGACTAATATCTTTCTTAATATGCTAAATAATCTGTATTACACAGAATAGTAGTTTGGCCCATAAATAACCTCTTAGAATCAAAGAAGGGGACATTGTCATTCTTTTAAGGGGTCTATGAGAACCAGTTTCCAACATGTTTTATTTGTGCGTACAGATATGGGAAATTTTTCAGTAGGAAATATTTGTAGGCATAGTTAGGAAAAAATTCTTTCTAAATCATAATTGCTATTTGAATACATCTATGTGTGTGTACGTTTATAATTTCTCCCAGAGATGTAAATAAATCTGAAGTCTTCAACATATTCAGTAACTTTTATGAACTCCGTTTAATTTAAGTGCTGTTGTAACCCTACAAAATAATCTCATTCTATCTAAATAAGCTGCTGCAATGAAGACAGGTGATAGTGTTCTTTTAGTTCCCTACTTTTGTATGACCTCACCTTAATTTGATTACATCTACAAAGAATCTGTTTTCAAAGATGGTCACAATTTGGGGTTCCAGATCAATTTGAAATTTGGGTGGACACTGTTCAACACAGTCTAGCCCCAAAATCAAATTTTCTGCTAGAGAACTAGAAAATCAGGCATTCTTTTTAAGTTTATCCAAAACTTAAGTTACTCATACTAAAGCTGGACTGAAATTTCTTCTATTACCATAGCTTCAAATATGTTTACAAGTTAGAACCCAAAATAAGAGCTTTAAATTTAAACAAATATGTTCATTTTTTAAAACTTTGTAATTTTACAACTTGCTCTTCATTCAGGAAAAGAATAAGTTCTTAGAACTCATCATGTTTCCAATAAGAAAGAATCTTCTAGAACTAGTTTATTTCATAAACTTTTTGGTTTATATAATTCAGGACATATTAAACAGTTTAGGCTATTAAATTAATTATAAGTTGTTTTTTTTTTTTTTTTTAATTTTTTATTGTTGGCTGTTCAAAACATTACATAGTTCTTGATATATCATATTTCACAATTTGATTCAAGTGGGTTATGAGCTCCCATTTTTACCCCATATACAGATTGCAGAATCACATCAGTTACACATCCATTGATTTACATATTGCCATACTAGTGTCTGTTGTATTCTGCTGTCTTTCCTATCCTCTACTATCCCCCCTCCCCTCCCCTCCCCTCCCCTCCCCTCCCCTCTTCTCTCTCTGCCCCCTTTACTGACATTCGTTTGTCCCCCTTGTATTATTTTTCCCCTTCCCCTCACTTCCTCTTGTATGTACTTTTGTATAACTCTGAGGGTCTCCTTCCATTTCCATGCATTTTCCCTTCTCTCTCCCTTTCCCTCCCACCTCTCATCCCTGTTTAATGTTAATCTTCTTCTCATGCTCTTCGACCCTACTCTGTTCTTAGTTACTCTCCTTATATCAAAGAAGACATTTGACATTTGTTTTTTAGGGATTGGCTAGCTTCACTTAGCATAATCTGCTCTAATGCCATCCATTTCCCTGTAAATTCTATGATTTTGTCATTTTTTAATGCAGAGTAATACTCCATTGATCTTAGAAGATGGAAAAATTTACCCTGTTCATGGATAGGCAGAACTAACATCATCAAAATGGCGATA